GCTTATATGTCAAAATATTTCATAATACTAAAATTAACATAGACATTTAAATATGATAAAATTATGATAATAATATAGTCTTTAAAAGCTCAAGTGAAGCTTACAGAAATAAAGTTTATTTGTAGAGTTCCATTTCATATAAAAGCTTATGTTTTCAGAATTTAGAACAGTAAAAAGTAATGTTTCAAATAATGAGAATACATTGCTTTCCAGGAAAAGTACTTCCAAATGATTAATATTAAAAATATGACAATGAAATAAAAAGAATATTATATTCAACATTAAAAAAATCTGTGCTATAAATTGCCAGATGAAATAATGCTAGCAAGATATTCCTATTTACCTTCATACTTATAATTATGTACCAATATAAAGTTGAACTTACATAAAAATTGAGAAGCACCAGGTTTGGTCAATGTGAGATAAAGTTACAGCTAGATATATGCTCTATGTGGCATTTTATTTTTATTTTGTCTTTTAGAGTTATTATATTATTATATTAAAGCACATAAAATTTGTAGTCAGTATAGCAAGCTTCAAATCATTTTAGTTAATTAGCAACTATAGTGAAGCATGAAGCATCACTCTTTCCCAGTAGTTTCATTTTAAACAAATCATCCTCACATATAAAAATAGCAAATTGCATTAAATTTTATATAAGACATTTTACAGCTTCTCATATAGGAAAAGCTATAAGCAGCTTCCACAGCACATACCACAGCAAACAGCTTTGAATAAACACTGGCAAGACATCGTTCATAGAGATGCAAGATACATACAGCCTATATCAACTGAATGCTTAAAGTATGTCACAAGAAGTTGAAGGTTCAAAGAAAAAACAACAAAAAACTGCCCAGAAGTTGAGTTCTGGTTACATTCTGACATTCTTTATTGCCTTCAAGTTGAAAAGGAAAGTATGTTGGTATTTCTCCTAGTTCTATTTGATTGCTGCAAAGCATTAAAAAAAAAAAAAAAAAGCATATAGAATTCCTAATTCTAAAACTCTGATTATGCATTGGCTGGCTACTTTATTCTGTTTTTCAAACTGAAATAAGGCTGATAGATTGCAGTGGTAAGAGTGCCTTAAACATCATCACTAAAACTTTGCTATTTTTACACAGTCATTTTTAATCTACATTAGACAATATCAATTTTAAGCTGCAACTTAAAGTACAAAGATGCTTCTATATCTAGTTTGTCAAAAGCTAATCTTTAAAATATAAAAAATATTTATAAATGCATTGGATAGATTTTTAACAGATACATTTCTTGGTCTGCCTGGCATATAAATATTGAATGGGTAGACTTCATAATTTCAGTCAGAAAACATGTTAGAGGAAGTTTTAAAAAGTCAGTCTTTCTCTTTCTTTAGCTAATGAGTTTCCAAAGGAGGAAAGCAATCCCAAAAATGGGCAAATTCTGTCTCATCAGATATGTGCATTTTATGTTCCACAGCGAAATGAATGATATACTAGTCCAGCTATGGAAAGTGAAAAATTCCACTGTTAAGATTTGATATTCAGTGTAAAAACTATGGAAGATATTTCTCCCCACCCCTTAAATACAGCTAATACTACCATAAAGGCAAAAAAAAAAATAACTGGAAATAAATTTTCCATAATAATTGTTTCTATAAGCCTTAAGAAAATATCTTACAGTCTAAATTATTATATTTTCATATTACTTAACATCTCAAATCATCATTCAAAGAACTTACAAATCACATCATTATTATCACTACTCAAAGTAACACAAATAAAACACAGATCTTTAAGACTCATTGCTCACAATTAAGAGTGTTTCTTTCTTGCTTTCTGTTTATGGAGGGAGAAGAGTGTTAGGAAGCTAAACACAACTGGCAAAAATATTTTACTTTGATCTGCATGTAAAAATTTACGTGGCCCAGGACAATACCTGTAACCAACAATTTATGTGTACAGGCAAATTACTATTTTCTTTATTACTTTACTTACTTTGATTACGTTCTCAATAATTTAGTCAGGGAAATACAAATATGTAAGTTATTTATGTTCAGTTCGGTGCCTCAGAGAAATTACATAATATACAAAGGCCAAAAATTAAAAATAAAAATTTTTAAAATAGAACTTAAGTGATTAAACATTGGTTGTATAAAATACAAAATGGAAATCTACTGAGTTTGGAGGGAAATGAGAAAAATTACTTTTAAAGCTCAGGAAAATAGCCACAGAATGCTACTTGTTCACTGATTACATTGCAGATTCTGCATAATTAAATAAACAAGTAGATAGGAACAATTTTAGGTGTGCCTTCCTTTTTCCCTTAATTTCATTAATTGTCTGAAATTATACCTCTCACACAGTAAGCATTTAATATACATTTTTGAATGACTATACATAATCAAAGAAATTAATTTGTAAATAAAATCTGCTTGACATATTTGTTGACTTAACATACAGAATCAGACAATTTTAATTTGCCAATCAAAGACATAGGCTGCTGAACATCTACACAATTTCACTGAGACACATGCTTTCCGCTTAAAACTAAACACCACATCTGCATCATAATCTATAACTTGTAACACTATTTTACACACAGCGATTCTCCATTTCACTTCTGCAATTGTAAGTGTTGATGAAGTTGCCAAATAAGTCACATTACATACAACAAACCTTCAGTTTAAATAAGGGATAAGATTCCTGTTAACAACTTAGTTTGAAATGTTAACAACCCTTAGGCTGTTAACATAACAACCGCCATTAATGTGGTAATGACCAATTTAAGAGGAAATTGTACTCTGAGAAATGAATATATTGCCAATCAGGACCAGGGTTTATATTGGAAAGAATATTATATACTTTTAATAAGTTAACTAGCATTAAAAGTTTGAGCCTATCAGGAAGTAATGCAAAAGTTATTCTACAAAAAGCTATATTCACTCTTATAGAGATATAAAAACTTCTGATATGAAAACTATTTGGATAAATGCTCTTTAGCAAAATACTTGAGACTATCAAATACCAGTTTAAAATCATATATGTTTACTACCATAAGGAAAAATAAAACACAACAAATCTAACATTACTGTCTCTGCTTGCTACTATGCTGACACCTACAAAGCATGTTATACTCACGATACAGGTATTTCCTTGGCAAATTTTTATTTTTGGTTTTCAAAAATCCCCAGATACTTCAACTGACATTCTTTCAAGTTTACTTAATGTTGTCCTTTGGTTTATTAAAACACCTTAACATTGCCCGGGCTATATATACTCCTTATTCGAAAGGGTAACATAAATCCACTTGAGATACTGAAATTACAGACCAATGGAAAAGTCAAAAGGAGTCAAAAAAGCTGTGACTGTTGGTTAATATAGAAAAAGCAAAACTAAAAAGCAGTATTAAATCACTAAAAGCAAATACAAATGCTTTATGTGGAAATGAGGCTGTAATTCACAACGAGCAGAAGAGAAATTTTTATTTCAAAGAGAAAAGTTCAAAGACGGGACAGTTCTAAAATAACGCACATAATACATTAATTCTGATTAGTTGTGCCAACACAATGAGAGAAATCCTGGCTGGAGAGAGTGACTTCTCATTGTTGGCACCTTGCGTGTGTTTTATGCACTCGGAACACAGAGAAGTAGTAACAAGTGGCCATAATTAGTCAGGAGGCTGTCAGGTGAGGCTGTCCTAAGAGCGAGAAAGAGTAGAATCTGATAAACAGTACTGCTTTCACCCTCTTGTAACTACCATTAATCAAACAATATATATTTTATATCTAAAGATTGGATCTGACTAAAAATAGTTGAATTATATACTAAGGAGAACCAAATTCCCTAGAAAACACCTCACCAAATGATCAAGGTACTTAAGGAGTTACTGTTGATTGATAAATTTTGTCAGAACTGAAAAAATGCCAAATAAATCGCTTAATGTCAGACTAGAAAAATGATTAATTGTATTAAATATGAAAATCCCAATGATGCCATAGATCATCTCTAATTTGATAGATCCTACTTTATTAATATAAGTAATTCGCAGCTGAAGTAAGTCACAAAGTTGCCTGAAAAGCAAAATAATTTTTCTTCAGTAGAATTTCTGTGTTGAGTACTTAATGCTGGAAAACAAGCTTTAGTCAGCCTCACGGCTTCATAACCAAGAACACCTGCCTTGTCCTGAAAATGTTCAGATGTTTACAGGTTGGAGAGTGGCTGTCATTTTCCTGTAATGATGGAAGTCTTTACTTTGCTATTACCCATAAAGTCTGAGGGGATTCAATGCTGAGTTGTATTTTTGAGATTACCGAATGTCGCGGGACGGGGAGGGGGGAGTGGGGAGTGGGGGGGGGCAGACGTCTCTACACTAGAGGAAAGTTTTCATAACTCTACAATAAATGCACTAATAAATATTACTCAAGGATTTGTACCTGACTTCCTCTGACAAACCTGAAACACAAAGGACAGCTGAATAACTTTAGAAGAATCAATTCTGGTCCAACTAACAGGCAACAATTACATTATTTTACATAATCCATTTTTTTCAGGTTAAACTTTTTGAAAATAAAGAGTTAAGATATTTTGCCAAATGTCTGATTCGTTTCTTTGTGTTATGCTCAGCCTCCATTCCCCCTTAAGCTCTAAAAAAAAAAAAAAAAAAAAAAAAAAAAAAGAAAAAGGAGAAATAAATAAATAAATCAACTTGAATGCTGGCTTCTACTAAATACATCCTTGACACTAACTGGCAGTTTCAATATAGGCAATGCCATAACCAATTCCTAAATATGAGAGTGCAGGCTAGCCAAATAGAAATACTTTAAATATTGTGGTTTATTGGCTATTCCTTAAGCATTAATTTGAGTGACACACACAAGGCAACATTTTGAAGGCTGACAGGTCAACTTCTTTCAGGAATATAAGCTGGCAGTAAGGAAATGAAACAAACAAACAAAAAAATACACTTACAAAAGTACTTTAAAAGGCATCCAGTCATCACTGGTGTGCAAGGATAATTCCTACCTCAGATAGTCTCTGCGACAAAGGATAAGATTAGCTTTAGTGTACAGGGTGGAGCCCACCTCTCCCAAGCGACAGTCACAGCAGGCACACTTCAGGCAGTCTTCATGCCAGTATTTGTCCAGTGCCTTTAGAAGATACCGGTCCTTGATCTTTCGGTTGCAGCCAGCACAACCTTTCGGCTTGGTGTCTGGCTGGACTGAGAGCATTTGTATACCTAAAGGAAGACAAAAGCAAAACAGAGAGCTGAGACTACCAGACAGAATAAAAAGATGTCAAAAGACCTCAAACAAGTTAAATATTTAGTATTTCCTTTTTCTAGGAGCGTTGGCTTTTCTTGATTAGGGCTATCCTGAAATCAAACTAAATTTTGGAAACAAAACGTCTCAAACTTTATCAAGTGCTTATTAAATCATTCAAAAGTTACAAATGCCAAGTGGTTATCATAACGAATTCATGTTGACCATGGTAAACTGATGTTATAAATATGAAGTTCAGCAACATTAAATAATTTTATAGGATTCTCATTCTCCCCATAGAGCAGTTCCTTTAGAAAGAAGATGTGAAATAACCATCTGAAAAGAAAGCTATTTAACAAATTAATCTATGCACAGTCCACAGAAGTAAAAAATGAGTTTTGCTTAACTGTTTAAAAATTTCACTTAATATGTGCTTGATGGTGGAAGGAGAGTGCACCTGGAATGGGATTACACTGTCCTTATTCAGCAGTAGAGGTGTTTATAGTTCAGTACACAGAACAGCTACCCGAAAAGCTCACCAATCCAATATTGCTTGCTTGTATCCAAATACTTCCTTCTAGGTCCTTGATATTTCAAAGTATTTATTGTGTTCAAATAGAATATTTATACTCACAAGCACCAGTCAGCACCTATATCAATGGCAGATTACTTAGCTATATACTATATGCTTTTATGTAAACCTAAAGTATATGATTATACTATTTATTACCATAAACACATACATTTGTTTTATAGAGGAAATAAAAAACAATAGAATGCAAGATCTAAATATATATACAATTATACAAACATATATAAGTAAATATATGCATATCATATATATATTATGCTAAACATAGGAACACTTATGTATTTTAAAGATGTATATCCATCATAAATAAGAAATCCAGCTGGGTTCTATGGGTTTTACAGTTTGATTGAAACCTTTTGAATGAATGAATATTCACCTTTGAGTGTCTTCTTATTTCCTAGGTATTAAACACCCAGCTTTAGCAAGAAGCTGGACCAACTATCCAACGCCTCATGTTTATCAAATAACTCATTTTAAGCACTATAAAGTACTGCAGACGTCATTCCAAATTCCCTCATTTCACAAATTATGTTACAGGGGCCCAAGAGAGGTTCAGAGACTTGCTCAAAGCTGAAAGACAGTTAAGCTATAGACTCTGGTCGAATGGTCTTCTAACAGTCCAGAGACCCCTCTTCTGCATTATGTTTGCTCTTCTAGGCATAAAGTTTTAAACTTGCAGGTAGATGGATACAAAACACCAAACGTGCATGCATTACAGGAAAAGAAATGTCAAGCTATAATCTGTAGTTTTGTGCATTTTCCTTTTCCCAAACAGCTAAACCTCCTCCAGTTTCCTCTGATACCTTATGATGAAGGCTTCCCACCCCCATCACAACCTTTTTTTTAAAAATATAAACCCATTGGTAAGAGACATCAAGGCATCCATAGAGCAGAATAACTTTTCTAACTACAAATAATACATGAGTTGCACAAAATATTGTTAGGATGTCAAACTTTCATTAGAAAATAACTTGTCTAGTAGAGTTGTATAGGATAGCTATTCTTTCCTTCTGCATCATAAGCATAGCTGTAGTCACCGGAGCTGCAGACTAACAGCTGGATTTGTAAGAAGAGCAGGTGGTATCCCCATAGTCTGCTTTCTGTTCCTTTCCTTTGAAGGAGCTAAGGGCCTAGTGTAGATTAATCATAACCCTTGATAGCTCTGCTAAATCTCACTCTCTAGAACTTCTAACAAATAAAGTTTCTTTGATCAGAACTAGTTATCCTCTTCTAGCAAGGTTCCACAAGGAATGAATCCCATTAATTACAGTGAGCAACAGACCCAAGTGCCTGTTAACCATATACCTGGGGGGGAGGGGGAAGTTTTGATTTACTCAGTGAAATTCTGGATGCTGTTACTGAAAACATCCAGATAATAAATATTAAGAGAAGCCATTCTAATTAAGCCATCCTAATTAATGGCCGTTCTATTAAATTTATAAGGCTATTATTTTTATCACAAGACTCAAAGATAAAAAACTAAAAAAGAAAATCCCAGCAAAACCTTCTTAGTAGCAGCTAAGCTATGTTTCCCATAGCTGTGTTTCCATCATCAAGCATAGAAGGTCAGCTATTTTATTCAAAATGCTTTGCAGCCAAGACCCACATTTGGCACAAGTAACACTACCTACTTGTCTTCACAAAGTGTTTTTGTTGTGTTGACATTTTAATTTAGCACTCAGAGGCCAATTAATATTTGAAACTCTTACATTCTGTTTGGCCTTGGGCATAAAAGGAGTTTGATATTTTACACTCCATCCTGGTACCTTCTTTTAGAGAACATCATGGCATTTCTCTTGAAAATGGAATCTCATGAATTCCATGCAAGTTAACAATTGTAGCAAAAGAACTATTTTGGTAGTCACCATGTTACTGTGTACTTAAAAGGCATAAAGCAGTCAGAGGCCTCTCCTCTTCCGCCAGAACATGTCTGGGTAGAGTTATGTGTTCTTAGCTAAGAAACATTTCACAAGTTGCTCATAGCACATCAGAACTCATAACTAGTTTTAGATTGGCATGTAAATTGTTCTGAGGGAAATTCTTATTGCCTCTGAGACCCTGCCATTCTGAGTTATTTGACAGTTTAAGGGAAATCATAATTAAAAAAAAAGACATAAATAATAGCCTGTGCAGTGTGGTGTGCAGAAATAAGTAGAACCATTTCATTTAAACTCTGGTGAGCTTTTAATTGCCTGGATTGCATTGTGAGGCGGCCTAACGGTTGATTGCCTCCATTATGTTCCCTTGTTCTGTGCCATTCATCCGCACAGTCTCAGCTTCAGTAGTTAACACAACAAAGTAACCACAACTCCACAACACACAGGGTTTTAAAAAATAATAATAATCATAATCAAAGATTTGCAGCACTTAGACACAGTTTTTTATATTTTTGGGCTAACTACACAGAGTGAATAGAAAACATTTTGTCCCTGTCGGAAAATTCACAGAGAACAATTTGGGAGAGGGAACAGGAAGAGGGAATACATAAAGGGGGTTGGAAGAGATGAGGTGCTTCAGAAAGATGCTAAAATGGGAATGCAGGTTCTGCAGCTGGGAGCATTGACACAGATTAAAAGAATTTGGCCAACATGGTTATTCAATTGCCAAGAGGTACCAGACAAAAGATTTTCTCTCCTCCTGCCCATCTTCATCCTCTTCCCAGCCCCCAACCCAGGTTGGAAAACTGGATTGGGCCTAAAAGCTTGTTTCTCTCTGTTCACTGGCCCAGAGCATCCCTACAGGCTGCAGCCCCCTAAGGGACAACAATGCAAATAGATGTCCCCAGATCTCAGGCACTGGAGCTGCTTAACTCAGTTCTGCCCCTTCAACTCCCAGTCTCCCTCCCTACCCTTCACCCCCCCCTCCCCTTTTTGAGCAATGGAGCTGGGAACCAATTTGATTCCCTTTTTCTCCAATGCAGCTGCAAGGCTCAGAGATACTGACATTTTTCCACTCTTATCAGTTTAATTACAGTTACCATGGCAGCAAAGTGCTAGTGCTTGGCAAAGGCCAACAAGAGATTTGCAAGACTGAGTTCAATTTTGATGCAGCTCACATGCAAAATAAAAAAAAAAAAATAAGAAACATACATACACTCTAACAAAGAATCCCTTGCGGAGTTTATGCTCCAGCCTTTTGTGGTTGTGTCTTTGCAGCCACACAGGGATGGTTCGCAAAGAATGTAGCAGTATTTGTTGCATCTAGCAAGATTAATTGGTTTAAGCAGCAGTCTTTCAAAGCAGTTACAACAATAATATTTCGGATCTTTCAGAAAGACACAAAAGCAGCGGAAGAGCAGAAAGGCTTTTGAGCAGCCAAGAGTGCAGAGCGCCGGCAAAGTGCATCTATGATAGATTATAACCTTACCAAAACTTTTCTCCTTTTTCTGCATGAGTTGACTTAGGCGTGCCTGAGTTGCAGCAGCTTCGCATTGAGCACCAAGCCCAAAGGTAGAAGTAGAAGGGGATCTCCTTGATTTCGCTTAAGTGTGGACCTGGTGCGCAGCCTACACCGCCGAGGACCGACTATTGTGAAGCCACTTTGGGAGCGGGTCGGAGTGGCGGCAGGGGGTGGGGGAAGGGATGAGGACGGCCAGACAAGACAGGGCGCACACCCGGAGCCCCTCGCAGTGTGCAAAATGATGGCGAATGACAAAGCCACATGCTTCCCTAACTCTGCCCGTAATCCTAAAATCCCAGCGGCCCCTTTTAGCTTCCTGGTAACAAATGGATTTGATTAAACTGTCACATGCAGCGTTAGCATAGCATATCATGTTCAATATGAAAAAGATCATAAATCTGACTAGTATTTCATAACAGCAATCTGGGTAGCCCCCGTAAAAAATGTGCTGCATCAGTTTGAATCTCATCCTATTAGGACATAGGCACCTCGGTCCAGGGACCTTCCCCTCTTCTGGCCACTTCTGCCCCCACACCCCCACCCCAAAACACAGTCACTTTTCCATCGCAAAAGAACAACATTTTGTTATTATGGCTGCGTAGGGAGAGGCAGGAGTGTCAATCAGGACCAAAAGATTGTAATTTCAACTCTTTAAGAAGTGGGGGGGAGGGGGTGGGTATGAATTCCAGCAAGTAAGGGGGAGGGGTCCGGAAACCCACCCCGGACCGAATTAGTTCCCTACGGGCTGGGAGCAAACACTTCCTAATTCCAAACTCTCCCTGCCCCTCTCTCCCCCGGAGTCAGGGGTGTGGAAATACTGCAGTTCCTGGTGAACTTTGACTATTATCCACTCGAGTCATACTTGAGACGTTCCGCGCCGCAGCCGCTCTCCCTCCTTCCATCAACATCTTCCGCCTGCATCTATTTCATGTCTCATCATAAAAATAATGAAGCCTCACATGATTTAAACGAAACCGTCTCAGTAGAGCTGCAGCCCGAGTGAAAGTTGCAGTGCGGAGCTGGGTTGCAGCTCCAGTTTATGCCTCATTAGCAGAGGCTGGGGAAGAAAAAAATACCCACATCCGCACACGCACGCGCGCACCCGCAGACACACACACCACAAATAAGCCAACGCGTGTGTACACAGTTGCTGCACTTACCTTCTCAATTAAGCGATACAGGGGGAGGCCGTTCAGTAAGCACAGTGGCTGCTTTGTAGCGCTTCTCCTTGGGAAAGGTCAAAAAGAAGCATTGTTTGAAAAAAAAAAAAAAAAAGACGGGGGAGGGAATGTCTATTTTTTTAAGTTTAAAATAATGAGGTCCTCAAGGATCCGCCAAGCAATGGTGTTGACCGCATCTGAGCCACAGGTGTCCTCCTTTTAGGCAACTGCAGTCCGAGGCTGTCTCTCTCCGTCCTGGTTCAAGACAACTTACCCCAGCAGCGTGCGAGGAGCCGAGCTGAAGGAAGCTCCGGCTCTCAGCTGCAAAATACAATCCCTTCCCAGCCAGACATAATACAGCCAAAGAAAAGGTCACTCAGTTATTACTGAGCCGGCGGAGCCCAGGCAGCGCTTGTCAAGACCACAGAGAAGCAGCTCCCTTCCGATTTAAGACTATTTACCTCTCGCCCCCACCCCTCCCCTCTTCTTTCCCTCTCTCCCTCCCTCTCCCGCTAGCTCCCTCGCTCGCTCTCGTGTGCCTGTTCGTTCTGCAGCTCAGTCAAGTACAGCCGCCCTCGGAAAGTGCAAAGCAGCCACGAGACAGATCGGGCTTTGTTGCTAATTTCCCAGGGTGAAAATTTACAAGCCTGCGAGTGCAGTCAGCACAACCACATGCATATGCTACTCACAAACGCTGGGGACAACCCCGCACACAAAATGTGACCTCTGCAGGAGTCGACTGAGGAAGGACCCTACCTCCTGGACCCGTCCACAAGAACTCCTGCGAGAGAGCTCCGGAGGAAAAGGGTAGGGTTCCTAAAATAACCAGGGCATTTTGGAATAGGTGGCTACATTTAAAGCAAATTGCCTTCCAAAGCCATTTCTGAAGCTACCAATTATGGAAATTAAAATAAAAGCAAGAGAATCAAACTGCTACCAGAATACCCTGGAAAAGCACACGACCCTCCCCTTTAGGAAATGTCTGGAGGTGGCCGCACTTGCCGGTCTCTCTGTGACTCCCATTCATGAACTCTATGAAGTCGCTGCTCCGCAAGTCAGCCACACAAGCCTGGCTCAGGAGATCACACACACACTCTCCGTCCTCCCTTCCTCTAATGGCCCAGGACCCAAACTGTGAACTTGTTCTCCATTCACTAATGCTGTCCCCTCCACCCACCACCACCCCGAAACACACTTCCTGCAATTACTTGAATTCCTTACTATTTAAAACTCACATGCTCCAATGAAAAACACCCCAGAACACTGAGAAACATGTTTTCAGGACTAACTTGGTCAAAGAACCATAGTTTCTCCACCATTACCGCTTTGTCTTCACAGGCTTGTTTTAAGGCCTTGACAGATTTTTTTTTTTCTTCAAATAGGTTCCCTTCTCTCTAACCTCCTCTCTTCTTAACTTTACTTAACATCTATAGAGGCTACTGGTAGCTTTAAAATATCTTATTATTTTTCTAAGTTTTCAAACTTCAAAGTCATCTTCTCTTTGGGCTGCTCTTAAAGTACCCTCACCAGATTTTACAAAGCTTCCTCAGAGGTCAAGCTTAAAAATGGTCCACATTTGAATGACACTCACTGAAATGTTTCAAGAACCAAGAAAGATTCAATTGTTGAACTACAAAAAAAGCTTTTTGTATCTTCTCTGGATCATCAGTCTTAATCTAGTTCTAGTTTAAAAGAAGAAAATCAAAGCACTCCCCCCATGAGTATTTAAGCTAAATTACATTTTTCTTCATAAAGAATAAAGGCACAGCATTGATCACCAGTTTTTACCCCCTCCCTTTTGAAGGCTCGTAATAAAATAGCATGTGGTTTGCTTTCCTTTTCCTTTAAAAGGCAACAAAACTCAGAACTAACCTGAAAAATAACGATATTCACAGACGCAGGTTAATGAGAACCCCTTAGTTGACTTGTTCTGTACATAGGCAGATTTCTTAAGTTTGGCTTTTCTGGCCCGTCTAAGCAGGCATACATGCACTTCACCCATCCGCACAGCTCCCCGCTGTTCTACCCCAACTCTCTGCTAGAGCCACTCTGAAAACACCCCAGTGTGTGTGTGTGTGTGTGTGTGTGTGTGTGTGTGCGCGCGCGTGCATGT